TCATTTTACGAAGTGGGGCAAATTTACTGATAGGTTTTTTGTTTTTTATTACTTATTTTAGACGTTTGTCAACTGTCAGTGAGGAAGCGCAGAGCAGTGTCATAATGTTGACTTAAGAATAGTACTGAATAAGCGCTAGTGATTTTGTGAAAGAAATGGGATTTAGATAGGCAGTACAGTAACACAGTCGACTACACGGACTGTGTAAATCCTCGGTAAGGACCAGTGAGGGAGTCGTGCAAAAGGAATTTGTCCTTGAAAAAAAACTTTTCACATGTACAAGATTCTTGCTGAATAAGGAATTCTGTCTGGGATTTGGCTTCGTTTCGAACGATATGTCACAAAAATGCCAACTGCTTTATCAAACGAATCACTCTTTTTTTTCTTTCCTAATGAACATTTTATCTGTGGCATTCCAGCGCAAAACCAAACGAAAAATGAATAAATAAGTAAAATAAGTAGAACGAACGACCTAAAAGCAGTGCAATGTACAAAAAATAATTATTTGCAAATTTAACAAAAAAGAAATTTTTTTTTTTGAAAGAACCGCAACAAGTGGATTTTTTTAAGCAGCTTTGTTTCTACGGAGTAACGTCTCTTGCTCAGTTTAAATCTCCTAAAACCGATCATTGGTAAAGTAGCACTAAGCAGAAGCATTCTTTTGAACGTGTATTTTTTACCACTCTGTGAAGTAGTCTGAAAGATGATAGTCACAATCATATATGAGAGTATTTGTTAGTATTTATCAAAGGAGAATTTCAAGCTTTGAGCTCTTAATAGTCGGTGAATTTCACAAAAAAATTTTTTAAACAGTTGTAGGCATCAGGAAGAAATAGATATAAAACAGTTATTTGAAATAATTGAAAATCTTTAAAAGTGTCAGCCACTGAGTTAAAGCCCAACAAATAACTCCGATAAAATATTGTTCTTCTGTTGTATCCTACTGTATGCTGCAAATTGATCATCGAGAAACAGAAAAATGATTGGACTTTGATCATTTTGACCAGATTATGTTTATTTACTTTGGTCAAGTACATTACACATGTAACAATTTCCTTAAGCATTAATAGCAAAGTAAAAACTGTACTTTTTCTCTCTCTGAATTAAAAATAATGAAATTTGGAGGCACAAATTTTAAGTAACTGGAACTTTTTTTTTTTGGTGGTATCTTACTGAGAAACAGAATTCTTTTTTCTTAAGACTGGCAAGTCTTAAGAAAAAAGAATTTTGTTTCTCAGTAAGACACCACCAAAAAAAATATACTATTATATCCAGTTTTTTTACTATATCCAGTTAAAAAAATTTTTTTTGATCTCACAGTTCCTTGCAACTTAGATCTTTTTTATTTTTTAATTTGTCGAATGTAGCAGTGAACAGTGTCGATGATGATGTTCAATAAATGCGACAGATGCTATCTGTTTAGGCTCTGGACCAAAACCGCTCAGTTGTGGGGAAGAATCCTGGGCCGATAAAGGACTTACTGATAAGGAACTGTGTGCTGAGTATTATCGAGTTAAAGGCATTAACGGTACCTGTAATCAAGTGGAACTTAAAACCTACTTCAAATCTGTGAATTATGAGGTTAGCTTCATCTGAAATTAATATTTTCTATCTTCATCAGTGGCAATTGCCTTCAGCATTTCCCATTTGCAAAAGAGTTTAAGAAATGATAAGTTGGAAGAA